AAAACAGTCACCTCTCAGAAAGTCATTACATCGCTAATAGGGGGGAAGATACCTCCCCTGTATTCCTGAATGTGGCAACATGAATTACATGAGACCAGGGCTGGATTAATGCATAGGCAAACTAGGCACATGCCGAGGGCCCTGAGCTTTGGGGAGGGGTCTTCCCTCCACAGCAGCAGTGCAAATGGCCCTGTCTGCCTTCCTTTCCTTTCCTTTCCTTCCCTTCCCTTGGCCTCGCCGCCACCACGGCCGCCTCCTAGCAGCGGGTCCGAACCTTGTTCCCTGTGCGCAGCAGCGCCGGGGTGGGGAGAGGGTCTCGACTGGCTCGGGGCCCATGAGTTTGTTTGCTGAGGGCCACTACAGGGTCTGCCTGAGACCATAGAGAGGCTCCTTGCAAGCAACTGGATGCCTGGAAAATCAGGGGTCCTGTGCTCCAGTGTGCCTGCAAGTGTGGAAATACATTAAAGGCAGTGCCCCATGAACCACTCCTGTTCTGGGCCTGGTTGGATGTAGAGGAAAAAGGGGGCAGGCCTAGCTTAGGAGTCCTGCTTTCCTTTGGCAGGCAGTGCTAAGGGACAGGAGCAATCCTTGTTTGCTTGTGAAGTCTCTTAGAAATGTTATACTGCCTTGGAGCACACTCTGCTGCCTGCCTCAATCCCTCCCTGCGTCCCCAGTCCCAGATCCTGACTACGAAGCAATGCACTTGCGTTAGAGTCTCAGCCGGGGTGTTGCAGCACCCTGGGGTGCCTTAAAACCCTTTCAAGGGTGCTACAGGGTGACACACAATGTTTGCACTGTTACGGGTAAACCCAGAGATTTTAACTAGAAATCCAGAGTGTTAAAGCCATTCAGAGCTGCTGTGCGCTATAGTACTTTGCAACGAAAGCATTGCTCTAGCATTTTTCCTTAGTGAAAAAAATGAGGGAAAGCTGAGACCTGGCACTTTTCTGAGGGGTGTTCTGGGTCTAACCGGGGGTATAGAAGAGTTGAGTGGTGCTGAGCACGGGCCCAGGACCACTCCCTGTCTCTGGTGTGCTTGGTGGCATGCGTTCAGGGACTCTGCCGGGTGGCTGCACTGCTTCTTTCCCCAGATCGAGGGCAACGGGTGCCTCCTGAGTCTGGGGGGCACCAGATCACCGACGGGGGGGCGGGTCCCCAGCGGTCGATCACTGAGCCAGCGGCAAAACTGGAAGCGCACTTCTAGTTTTGTGGCTGGGTTTCCGGGGGGGGGGCACGGATGCCCTAGATTCAATGTGCGTGGAGCAGGAGTAAGTGGGAATTGCTCCCAGGTGTGGCAGGGTGGAGTGGAGACTGCCCTTCATGACAATCTGAATGATTTTTCTCGAGGATACTAGTCTAGTCCTTCCTCTGGGATGTCTAGGAACGGCGACTTCGTTTCTTCCCCTACTGTAAAATGCCTTCCCTTGCCACCCGGTTGTGAGATGTGTTGAAGCCACGATTGCTGTTAAAAAGAGATGGGCGCCAAATAGGCTGGGGGTTGACCCCTAGCATCTGCCCTCTGTGATTTTGTCACCCTAGAAGCAATAAACCAGATGGAGGAATTAAAAAATTATCCCAAATGAGTAAGTCCCACACAAGGAGGGCAGCTTAGCCGAAGCAAACAGCAGCCTGGCTTTGCCACCAAACCGCTTTCTAAAGCAAACTCACTGATGTGATCATTTTCTTTTGTTCTCTTTGAACATTACTCTTAATGGGCTGAGTAATGCATGCAAAGGATTTTGCTTTCTGCAAAGAATGGAACATCCCTTGCTAATTTTATAGCAGGCCTTGTTATGCCCAGAAGCCCTCCAGCCGTCGTTTGCAGTTGTAGAATAGCGTCTTATCACCAGTAACCTGCACTGCTGTAATATATTCTCTCTTGCCTCCATAGCAGAAGTAAAAATGAACAAACGACACAAAATTAAGTGGGTGTTTGCTGGGAGGCTGCTGTGCTTGGGATGCTGTCAATACCCCCGTGTGTTCTGGGTCCATTCATCCGTCAGGTGAACCCTAGCAAACCAAATGGTGTAAGAAGATCCTTGCAGGCAGGGGCTAGTAGAAGAGGAGAGGAAATGGTTGTCTCAGGGTATTTCAGCAATACTAGCTCACCAATGGCAGGAATGTATCTTCATTTATCTCAGAGAGAAGGGCGGTGCAGTGAATTTCCTGTTGAGTTTCTCTGGCTGGCCTGCTTGCCTGAGCACATGGCTTGCTAAGGACACAAGCCTCCTGCCTGTCCCTGCCTCTGGCATTTGAACTTTGCATGGCATGCACGCGCGTTTCTGGTGATCTATAACCTGGTAGCGCACTCCAGGAAATTCAAACGCCACAGGCAATCGAGGACAGAAAGAGTCAGCCTCCATCCTTAGTCAGATCCCAATTTCCTATACTTCCCTGGGCCCATTCCACCCTGCGGGATGGCCCTACTGCTGGATCTGTGGAGCTGCTCCCTAGGAGTTGATCCACAAACTCATAGGATCTGACTTAATCTGCCACGGTTTGGAGGGGTCCAGGCCTTAGACACACTTGAGGATTCTCCCTGCTCATCTTATGCACATCTAGGACCCCCCCAGGCCAGTGGCCCAGGTTGATACCAGCCTCACTGGTCCAGACAATGCTGTTAAAAACACAAGGATTCCTTGGCAGATGCATCGGGTCACAGCAGGCCAGCAACGGTTCAGCTGAACTCCCCGTTAAATCTATTGAGGTGCTTTGCTTAAAAAAAATCAGCAGCATGATACGGCCTCATAACAACACATTTCTGCATTTGGCTTGGTAATTAATGATGCTGGTGGAGTCCAAAAAGCAATTACGATGTAATGTAGCCTGTGATTTGTGCAAATGGAAATAACCGTTACTGTGGAATTTGTCATGTAATATGAGAGCTGGCCACCTCGTCTGAATGGACACCTGCTGGAGCTGGCTCGCTGACTTGCAGCACTGGCACTTGGAAAGTATTATTATCATTTAGCAGTTATCTCTTACTAGGCTAAGGAACAGATATTTGGACAAGGCAGCCATGCCCATAAATTGCAGGATGCGACCAACCTGTCTTGCACTGATGGCAAACATCTGCACTGGGTGTTTGTTTTCTGTTCAGCAGCACCCGCTTTCTGGTCTTCCCGTGCAGTGCAGGAGAGGTAACAGAAGTGACAGGAACATCTGTATTTCGTCTCCTGAAATCAGATAGCTACAGGCAGCTTCTTCCACACCGCCCCACCGCCCTGCCTCATTTTGCAGCAGAAATATCTCCATCCCCTTTCCACCCAGAACATTTGCTTCGTGCCCCAATCGTGGGTGGCTCTTGCTAACAGCGCACACCAGGCATCTGTTTCTTAATAAAAAAGACAATTCTGTTTTGAACCCGTGGCTTGAAGAATGCCTCTTCCCGAGGAGTTCATTTGTAATTCAAATGTAATATCCCGCAATGTTTTATTAATGAAGCCATGAGGCTGTTGATATGGAAATACTGCTGGCAATATCTCAAGACAGTCCAGCCAGACCACAGGAGAAGGACGCCGGATAGTGAAAGGCTCTATTGGGATTTCGTATGGAAACCTTTCCCATTAGCTGGTAAGGCAAAGGGACCATAAATAACAGGGGAGGCCACTGTGGGGTTAACGACTCGGCTTGTCACAGCAATGAGCAAATCTTGTAGTTCTTGCTTGGGCAAAGATCCCACTGATTTAGGCTTAAATCTTGTCTTAGTCATGCAGAATTCCCATAGATTCTCCTTTTTCTTCTGACCTCTAGTCTACCCTGCAGCTTTCTAATGGATGACAGCTAGATTATGAATCAAGGGAAGCGGCAGTGCCTCAGCTAGCTAGCCCAGGAAGCGTGCAAAGATGCAAACGCTGTCCCTCCTGCCTTAGCTCTGTTCCCTGGGGGCAGTAACCATGAAAGGCGGCTGGGGGGGCACGACTGCACTGGCAGTGGTGGGAGCGCGGTGGTGGTAAGCAGGGGAGCTCCCGCGGATGCCGCCAGCACTGTCAGCAGCGAGGGGGTGGCGAGCACTGACCAAGGGTCGTCAAACACCCACAGGCGCTGCCAGCAACGTCGGTGGTGGCCAGGGCTGATCATGGACCACCCGCAGGTACTGTTGACAGCACCTTTTTGCAGGGGGTGCACTTCCACACGCAGGGGGATGCACATGCACCCACGTGCACCCACTCTGCATTGCCCCTGGCAGTAAATTTACTTTGCCGCTCACCCAGCAAGGGAGGGCTTGCCACACACAACAGCAGCCAGCTGGCCTGCGCTCTATGCTGAGCATGAAAAAGAAGTGGAAATGCTTGGGGAACACCGAGCTTGGCAAGCAGGGCGGACTAGAGAGAGACCAATCCAGGCGCTTTCTCCGAAATGCAGGCTCCCTCCCTACTTCTGACTGGGAAACCCGCTGGGAAGTGGGCAGCACCCTGGAGATGGGAGACTGCCAGCTGCTGGCCCCAGCCTCTAGCTCCCCCTGGCTGAAGATCCACAGGGAGATGAGCAGGGTCAGTTTGCCCCAGGTGGCACAATTTGCCCCACACCAAAGTGCATGTTCAGGCACGTGTGCTGGTGCACCAATCTCCAGCACAAATTTGTGCTGCTGCTATTTGAGCTGCTGCAAGTGCACATGCCTGCATGTGTGGACACACCCAGGGAGCGCACACACCAGGTCCGGTTTCTTTTGCTTCATGTTTTCTTATCATAGAGGCATTCTCCTAAGTCCTCAAATGCAGTAAGAAGTATAGCCCTTCACAGATACCCCAGCCTGTATGTTAGCATCACTGGCATGCAGCACTTCCCATCACAGGGTCTCTGATAGCCTGGGACCTGGGTAGGTGGTCATTGGGTATTCCCGGCTCCAAATCCAGGGAGCACCTTCAATCCTGCAGTAAGGAAAACGGTAACCATATGTGGAGACCCAAGACGCCCTGGCAATGCGCAGTGTTCTCTCATAAAAGCCATTTATTAGAACGGCAACCATGACACTTTTCTTTCGTACAGCAGCTGTATGCAGCTATAATCGCAGTACAGTGAAAACTACATATTACAATTCACTAGAAATCTAATAAGCATCATGAACATCATAGAGAACTGGGAATAATGACTATGAAAAATGAGTCCAGAGTGGCCCAGCCACCGAGTCTCATAAGAAATTAAAGATCAGTGCTGTCCTGCAACACAGCTCTTCTGTAGCTGAGATAAACTAATAGGTTTAAATGACCAAGATAGCACCCATTCAATAAATTAGGTAAACTTAATACTAGAACAGCAATATAACCAATAAGAACATTCTAAATAGAGTGAGCACTAAAGTAAATTCTTATCTATTTACAGAAATGTCTTTCTGCTGGGACATTATGCCATTAGCTTTCCCACCCCCCACCACCCTAACCCTGGTTCAATTAACTACAGCTTTTCAATGAACTTAACTGCTTGGCACATTGGCAAATGGTTGGGCAACAACAACTGAAACTTTCTCCAGCCCCTTAAGCTAATCTAGAGTGGCATTAAATGACAGAAAGGAAAGCGCAATAACATGCGGCATGCAGTCTCTTTCTTACAGAAACAGTAAAAATTAACGTTCTGGCATTAAACACAGTGATAAGAACCCGTCATTTTTGTATGTGGCATTTGTCTGAATTACCAGAAAGTTAAAAGTTTGAAGCAGAATGTACTCTTCTGGATAGTAGGCACAGGCAGGCATGGCAACAAGCATGTATTCCTGAGAATGTGAATGCCATGGACTGTGTTTCCAAATCTCATCTTTCCTTTTTTTCTACTTGTTCTCCCTGATCTCCAAGTCGTGATAACCTTATAACATAATGAATTCTCTCTATGAAAGAAAGGACACTATCAGGTGGGGTTTTTTTTTTAAGGCTAGAATTTTCACTATCGCTATAAAAAAATAAATGCTAATATCAAAAGGGCCGAATACAGGCCCTATGACAAATGGCTGCACCATGTCAGCTGGCACCATTATGGAGAGAGCAGTTAAAGTCACTGATTGGGTGCAAGTGCTAGTTTCAAGTCTTCTTGCAAGTCTGTGCTATCTTGGAGTGCATGAAGACAGGAGCGTGGCTGACTCCCCTGTCCACCTACTGAGCGAAACAGAAAAGTCTTTGGAGATGACAAATTATAGAGCCAGAGTCATTCAGTTACCAGCCAATTATTCTGCTTAAACCAAGTGATCACCACATCACAAATGCAATTATCTACTCAGGCTCCTTGTCCATCTTAATTACAGTGGTCTGACAAAGCTCTGACAAATTCCTCAGCATTTTCAGAGCAGTATTTTGGGGCTAAATCCTACTCGTGGCCACATGCAGGTGGCTCCCTTTGATGTCAATATGAGCCAGGAGCATGTGTGTAAGGGACGAATTTGGTCCTACTTGAATTGCTCGGACTGGCTCCCCATACTCGGTGTGTTCGTTCCACCTGGCTCTGTATAGACTAACTGGTAATCCAAGACCAATGTCTACAAAGATGATTGAGGGCACTCCTTAAGAAAGGCCACAGGGAAAGAAACATGGTTGGAGGTAATTTGCTGGGTTTCAGCAACAGCTTTCCATTTTAGCCCTCCCGCCCCTCCCCAACAGTCCCTCCCCAGGTATTTTTGTTTTTTATACAGCATCTTTTGCCTGATGTGTAACTCCGCCGAAAGTTATCGTCGTGGTTTCACTTGCAATGGCAGCGGCGAGGCTGGCTGATAGCGGCCACAATGTTACGAGGAAATTAAAAGCTGGCGTAAAACAAAATAAATATAATAAAATAAATAAACTCAAACCTAAAAGCCGGCACAGAGTAATAGCTCAGGCTACCTAGATACTTTATCAGCTCCAAAAGCTAAACAGCAAAGCAAACACGCACAGTACGGTGCTGGAGATGCGGAGAGGGTTTGCTGCATGGTTGTGGTGTACAAAAGACTGCAGAAAGCCAGTTTCTTCTCTTCTCTCCTCTCTCCTGCCCCTTTGGTTCCCCCTGGTCTCCGATTACCAGCTGACCAAAGATTCTCCTGCTCCTATGAGGTGTCTTCCCAGAGAAGTAAATCAGCTCTCTTCACCCATGCTGAGAAAAGGCAGCTGGCTTCATTCGTTTTGTTACTGCATGGATGACCTGGAAGTGTAGAATTCGGGGACCGGCAAGCCAGTGTGAAGTGTCACCTGTAACGAGAGCCCTGTTACCATCGAGCCAGCTATCACTTTCCATGGGTGGGGTGCAATGCAGGTTTTGATGATAGGGCATATGTAGACAAAATGGGGGCCCTAAATTGAAGCGGTGGGTTTTTAAAAACACAGCTTCAATTTAGGACCCTTTAAACCCTTTAAAACTTCTGACCCTAGAAACTATGAAACCCCCATGTCATGCACACACACACTTACCTGCCTCTCCAGTGGTGGGGAGGGGAGGGCAAGCTGGCAGCGGGTGGGGTGGTCCCTGGGCTGCAGGGTGGGGGCTGGTGCGTCCCTCCACAGCAGCGGCGCCACCCTCCTCCCAGGGTGGCACCTGCCTGCAGGCACCCGGCTTGGGAGGTCCCGGGGGAACTGCAGCCGCGGAGGGAAGCACTAGGCCCCCACACAGCTCAGACAGGCAGGCAGGCTCCAGGGGAAGAAAAAAAAAGATTGCCGCTTTTTTTTTTCTTAGGCAGAGCCTGCCTTCCCGGGCTGCTGCCAGGCTGCCTGCAGGGCTTCCTGCAGAACCCTTGAGCTGCACAGAGCCTGGTGCTTCGCGCCGCAGTTGTAGGGCAGCAAATTAAAGTCCTCGGAGGAGTTTTAGTTTGCTGCGAACCAAGTCATTTAAGGTGCATTACACGCCAAATATGCTACAGCGGCTGGAATTACCGCGCAATACGCTGTCGACGTGTGCAAACACCAACACCATTAAAGCAGTGCAAAAGCATTTACCCCGCTTTAAAGTGTCGTGCACACGTGCCCCTCGTTTCATCTGCACATGACCTTAAAGTTGAAATACCCTATTTTTTCACATATGACACCTGCCCAAATAAGAGAGACATTTTTATTTTTGGAAAGCAGAATGAAGGAAAATGTTCTTTCCTTAAAACTGCTGGTTAGCAGCTTCTGCATGCTGGGGACAGAGAGCGTGCCCACAGCCAGCAACTAAGGAGCCCCCCACATGCCCACCGTGCTGCTATTCTCCTCTGCCACAGTCTGCAGGTGGGGGCGGAGAGGAGCATAACCTTGCACTATTCTCAGTGTGGCCTGTTTCAGACACCTCCCATCTTTAAGGCCACTCCTCTGAAAGGCCCAATGAAATCCGCACCAAGGCAAGATCCATGCTGTGATGGAGATGACCAAGTGTATAGCTAGGCTCCTAGCCCTTAGCGATCATAGATGATGCCTCATCCACTTCCTTACACTCTCATCCCTGCCCTTGGCCCACAGTGTGTATTCTGCCTCCTCTCTTGCACCATGGGCCCCGATGATGCTCTCCTGGCATCTTGGGGAAGCCCAGTCCTTCCAGCATCTCTCATTCATGCTCCTCTCCCTGTCACTGTGCAGAGCCAAGAAGAGCTTGCATGCCAAGGGCAAAAAATTAGAGCAACCAGCATGGGGAGCATCAGCAGCCTGCTCCATCCCGGCTGCCATTGAGAGGAAAAGGAGGTGTAGACCTTCATTGGAATGTGCATTAATCAGCTATATCATATATTATGTATAAAATAACACAACAAACTAAGCAAAAATAATCAAAAGAAGACATTTCTATAGTCCTATTGTACTTAAAATTAAATGTACATCCCCTTCAGATTCATAAAACAAAAGCTAGCATTGAGTGTCTCGACAGTGCATCCTATACTTTGCTGGAAATTATTTCCACACCTGAGTTCACTGTTTGATGCAACAGAGAAGGGGCAGCATGGGAAGGGGGCACAGAGAGAGGTGGCACAGTCCAAGCCTTGTGCTAGGAGAATGGTCTTTGCAGCAGCTGTCTGGATGGGTATAGCCTAAGGTATGATGTAACGTCCTTCTGAGCTACAGTTTAGTCTGGTACAGAAACAAAAAATACACCAGCTGAGGGATCCTCACAAGCATGAAGGGGAAACTTAGGGTTAGGTTCTTTGGGCCTGTGAGGCTAGGGAGAGACATAAACAGGTTTAAGTGATCAGAAACTGGTTTAAACCTGGAACAGAACAGATGTCCAGTGCACATAAACCAGTCTGAAGATGGCTGAAGCTGACTTGAGATGAACCTGGCTGAATGTAGCATTAGACTTAACTGATTTGGCTCAAACTGATTTATGCAATGTCTGTCCCAAATCATAGTTTTATAGTTTCATAGTAGCTGGGGTCAGGAGGGACCTGAACAGATCATCTAGTCTGACCCCCTGCCACAGGCAGGAATGAATGCTGGGTTCACAAGACCCCAGACAGGTGATCATCCAACCTCCTCTTGAATTTGCCCAAGGTAGGGGCGAGGACCACTTCCCTGGGGAGCTGGTTCCAGATTTTGGCCACCCTAACTGTAAAATATTGCCTTCTGATCGCTAACCTAAACCTATTCTCCATCAGCTTATTGCCATTGCTCCTCGTCACCCCACGTGGTGCTGGGGAGAAAAGGGCTCTACCTATTTGCTGTTAATCTCCCCTGATGAGTTTGTAGGCAGCCACCAGGTCCCCCCTCAGCCTCCTCTTGCT